CGTCGACCAGGATTCGTCGGACTTTGAAACCAGCTATCTCAGCTGAGATTACCAAGGGATCTTGATGCGGGAACATAACTCCTTCTGCGTCTTCCGGCCCAAAAGAAATTAGCTGGTTCAGATATTGCGGCGCCCCTTCACCCGCCGAAGTGATGCTATGGACCATACGGATCTGCATCTTCTTCTGCCATTTCGACAACTGGCTTGGCGGGTCAGCCCTTGTAATCACTTAGATTACCCTTCGCTGTACATCTTGGCGTTGTTCGGCTGGGGGTGTTTGCTCTTGAACTGCTTCGCGGGGTGCTTCGACAGTTGTTCCCTGCTGAGGCCTTGAGTCTTGCGCGTTGCCACATTGCCTAATGTTTCGGCATTGTTCCGTGGTGTGCGAAGAGCGTCCGTGAAAGGCGCAGTAGAGGTCTTTTCGGACCTTCTTGCGGGCTGGCTGCTGATGGTTGCTCACTTGCTGGGCATCGAACTCCTTGCGGAGGGCTTGCACTTCTTCGACCGCCATCACAGCTTTGCCCGCACGGTCTGTTCTGAACTTTCTCCAAGTTATGGGGGCTTGGCCTTGTCTCGGCGGCTGTCCTTGGATCGCCGGCTGAGACTGGCGAACGAAGAGGGGAGGTTGTTCGGCAACTTGAACTTGTGCTTGAGCTTGAGCAGCGGCGACGGAGGCTTTGTCGTACTCAGCTTGTATAGCTTGCCGTCGCTTGGAATCCTCCTCGCCCCTTGCGAACCCGTCAATGATGCGAAGTAGGTGCTCGAGCGTCTGAGGCTCCTTGTTGGCGATTTTTCATGTGAGTTCGCCCTCGAGCAGACCGGCCGAAGCGGCGTTTATAACCGACGCCTCGGTTATGTCTTGAACTTGGCACCGGGCTTGTGAGAAGCGACGCATGTACTCCCTTATCGACTCCCCCTGCCTTTGGCTAATGCCGAGTAGGTGTTGTTGCGTCTTCGGCTCCTCATAGGTGCCTCGAAAGTTAAGGACAAAAACATCGCGCAATTGCTCCCATGAGTAAATGCTATTGGCTGGTAAATTGAAATACCAAGAACGGGCGATGCCGTCTAGAGCGAGATGTATTACCTTCGCTTTGGTATTTTCATCACCATGAGCCACTTCGATCGCTGACTCGTAGATGGAGAGGAACTCCTTCGGGTCAGTTTCGCCTGAATAGCACGGGACGGGTGGGAACTTGAACTGGGCTGGGATTGGACGAGTCTTGATTCCCCCACTCAGCGGTAGCCCCTTTTCGCCTCCCGCCCTGTTTACCGCACCCTGCTGCGGGTACGGTGTGGCGAAGGGCGAAATCGCAGCTTGTACGCGAGGTTGGGCCATGGCATTCGGCTGCCCGGCTCCAACTGGAGGTACTTGCTGAGCCGCCATGGATGGGTCAAAAATTGGCTGTGACCACGTCATGGCAGCTTGGATTGGTGCTTGGTTTGTTCCGAAGCCTGGAGTTGGAGCTTGCTGCCGAACGGTTGGTGCCTGGACAGCGTTGACGAAGTCGAACTGCGGTCCTTGATTCCACAGCGAAACTCCCAGGCCCGGCTGAATCGGTGGCAACCAATTAGGCGCACCTTGACTTGTATTCCCCTCCGGGTGGGCCGATGGGGTTGTACTTGAAATACAGTGGGGTTGGTTGAGTTGCTGAAGAAAAGCTTGGAGTTGCGCCTGCAGAGCCGAAGCCCCTTCCGCCACTATTTTTGGCGCTTGGCCGGGTGGTTGATGGTGTACTTGGGCAGCGACTGCGGCCGATTGCTGCCCGGCGAAGTACATTGGCGCTTGTGCGACTTGAGGCGGATAGGGCTAGGTCGTCACTTGCGGATGGACTTGAGGCGGGACATAACCTGCCGAATACTGAAGGATTGGAGCCGACGTGACCTTGGTCCGCCTTGCCGCCTCGTATGCTTGTTGTTGTTCTTGCATTTGGCGAAGCATGTCTTGGAGCCGTGTCATGTTCTGTCGCATGGCTTCCATGTCGGCTTCGGCTTGTGTCTCAGGGTCAGGGCTGACATGGGCCTGCATAGCGGCGAGCGCAGTCGGGGCTGCCGCCGGCTGCGATGGAGTGGCTTGGGGCACCACTAGTTGGCTTGTCGAAAGGATCTCCGCCCTGGTCTGGAGTGCCCTTGCCACAGCAGCCGCCTTCGCCACGTCGGCCGCGTTCGGCACTTGCACAGAGGCGGCAGGGGCCGAAGGCGTTTGAGATGGCGCAGATGTGGAAGCAGATGGTCCTCCTCCATCTTCGGCCACTGGCGCCGAATGCTCTGCTCCCTCCTCGGCGGCCATGTCCGGTGCGGCGTTGCTTTCCTTCCGCCTTGCAACCTTCTCCTTCACGACCTTCTTCGGTGGCATTCACTCTCAGTGGTTTCGCTCGGAGGTCCCCACGGTCGGCGCCAGCTGTTGTCGAAACGACAACCGCATACGTCGAAAGACGTGGTTACTCAACAGTGGTTAGAAAAACGAAGTGTATTAAATTTTGAATTTCCCTTGGGATCTTCCCCCGTTACATGGTCCTAGGGGGCTATTTATATCCCCATTACAGGTTCTTACTACTAGGGTTTAGGTTATACAGGGGAATTTACATGATTACCCTTATGAAAGGGACATTTACAGGGGTACATGATGATATAGGGGCTCATGGGCCCCTGATGGGCCGTCTGGCGATCGCCGGCCCTATTGCCCCTAGGCTTGATGGGCCGGAAAGGCTTCTTTGGCCCTCGTGGGGGCGAACTTGCCAAGGCGAAGTCGTCTTCCTTCGGCAGATAGTCTTCGCCTTGCACCCTTTGCCTGAGACGCCTCTGGCCTGGCAAGGCACTTCGCACGACTCTTCGCCTCACGCCGTTCTTGCTCCATAGCCTTCGCCATGGGTTTCGGCAGATTTGGTCGAAGGGCCTCATGCCATCCGCCAACAATGTTATAATATGAAACAGAGAAGTACAACACACCGCACCATTATTTTATTATCTCTTGCCAATTTTGTAAGAAAAATATTTTGAAAAGACAAAATGACCCTGCTCATAAGGTATTTTGTACAAGCAGACCCACATGTTGGTCACATAGAGAGCAAGTCGATGGGCCCCGCCTATCAGGAGCTAGCGGCTAGAGTGCATGATGTTGTGGGCATGACCTAGGCAAACTGGTGGCGAGGCAAGGACATAGGATAGCACGCGGATGGTGGTTGTGGGACGAGAAGTTGGATCCTGACGAATCGCCTTGTGAACTAGTTTCTCAAAATCAGTATAGTCTGCAGAGATCAGCTGATCGGTCAGTTCATCATCAAAACTAGACATGAACTTCTCCTACCTCTCAGCATTGGTGTGCAGGTCGTTAGGGACGTAGTGCGCAAGGCGGTTGAACTCATGCAGATACTATGTATCTGTCATGTCTCCTTGATGCAGTGCACGAAACTTCCTCTTCTTTTGTGCACGGGACTTCCTCTTCTTTTGCACCACTATTCCATCGAGAACTTGCGCCTTCCTGAAACTGCACCGGAACTCTGCTCAAGTGACTTCTCTTCCTGCTGGGCGGGTAAACATGTAGTTGTCCCACCAAGCAAAAGCGAGGCCCTAGAGCTGGTGGGTAGCGAAGGCAATCTTCTCCTGGTCATTACACTGCGGAAGATTCAACTTCTTCTCAATGGGATGAGGCTAGTCATTGGCTTATAATGTAGGGACATTCAACTTTCGGAATTGCTTAAAACCGTCGCATGTTTTTTTGGGGAAAAAACTTTCAAATGTAACTATAGTATAGTCGTAGTGTAACTACAAACTCTATATAAGTTAGATATAAAGTTGCATATATTATTTTAATACTTATATACAAGTTATATAATAGTTATAGTGGAATTATATTACAATTATACTATAGTTAGATTTGAAAGTTTTACCAAAAAAACTTGCGACAGTTTTTCTAGGTAGTTTGACTTATTGCCACATTTAAGATGTTGCAAGTAAGGCTTTGCCACTCAATCTATGACATATGGGCCCTTATGCATTTATGGTAGGGGCAATTTCGTTTTTATCCTACTTTGATGTCTAATATTGATTTTACCCCTATTTTTTAGAGTTTTCATTTTTACCCTCACTTTTTTTAACTGAATGCTTGTTTTTCCCCTACTTTGGATGGTGAAGTTAATAGTGTTAAGTAATTGATAAAATGATATTTATACCCTCTCATGTATATACATTAATTATGTTTTTGTCCCCATTTTATACACGTAGCTTTGGAACTTTATTTTTGGAAGTATATTTAAAATTAGATGACGCACATTGACTAATATAACAATTTGGACAGATTCTGAATTTGATGGAATTTTGACAAAATTTCAGTATTTTGATAGAACTTAAACAAAATTTTGACAACATTTTGTAAAATGTAATTATATGTTCCCTTTAGATATTAGTCAATGTGTTTCATTTAATTTTAAATATACTCACAAAAATAAAGTTCTAAAGCTACATGCATAAAATGGGGACAAAAACACAATTAATGAATATACATGAAAGGGTATAAATGTCATTTTGTCAATTACTTAACACCGTTAATTTCACCATCCAAAGTAGGAGCAAAACAGGCATTCAGTTCAAAAAAAAAGGTGAGGGTAAAAACGAAAACACTAAAATGTAGGTATAAAATCAATATTAGACATTAAAATAGGGGCAGAAACAAAATTGCCCCTTTATGGTATATATTAGTTTAGTGGTAAATTCTTAATTACTACTCCCTCCGTTTCGAGTTATAAGACTTTCTAACATTGTCCATATTTATATAGATGTTAATGAATCTAGGCTTATATAGATGTTAATGAATCTAGGCACACATATATATCTAGTTTCATTAGCATATAGTATATGAATATGGGCAATGCTGAAAATTCTTATATAATATAAAACGGAGGAAGTATTTATAAAAATAGCAAATAGTTAAATATCTCTGCAATATGGGGCATGCGACAATTTACTAACTATATTTGGTGGTAAACTATGGAAATCATCCAAACAGCCCAAAAATCTCCCGTCTCGGCGTCTCGGCTCCTCCGCTCCTTGCGCCATCTCGCGGCTGAACAGGCGAGGGGAGGGCGCGCCGATCTCCATCCGGCGAGCAGGGGAGGGGAGGGTCGCTGATCTCCATCTGGCGAGTAGAGCAGGCGAGGGGAGGGGAGGGGATCCGGTGAGCATCCACATCCTCTTTCTGGTTCATCTCTCTCTCCCACCGGGACTACTTTTGCCTGGAATTTGCTTGCGTTTCGTTAACCCTAGCTTCTCTTCTAGATCTGGAAGAAGCCCTTCTCTTAATTTCAGAGACTTGAACCTTAATACAAGTGACAGTTTGTTCATTCCCCCAAAAGTTTGGGGGTTCAACTGAGCCCCCATGTCCCAAGTTGGATCCGCCCCTGCCTTCAAGTAGGTCAGGATGGCGCTTAAATTCACTTCTGGCCTTTGTGTGTCAATAGATATGCCATGCCATACTAGTATTATTGAAGAATAAAGTCAAAAATAATTATCTATAACTTGCTTGATGTTTTTTTGTTTCTGATCTCCTAACTAAAATTTCATGGGCTTTCATCTATTCTGACATGGACCATACATGAACAAGTTCTTTCGTTACCTATCTGTATATGACATCTTAAGTGTAAGAAGATCCAAATACTGGTATAGGACTGGATGAAGATGTAGTGTTTTGAAAAAGTCAGCTGCCGATTGCTGAAGGGTGCTTGTTTCCTGAATTATTCATTTGATTAATTGATTTTGCCTTTTCTACAATTGCTTGGATTCAACCATGCTATGTTGATCCACTTTTGTACTTGTGTTCTCCATACAATCTGTTCTTTAATCATATTTCTGTTGCGTTCATCATTGTATCCAACCTTTGTTGTTTCTTTATAAGGGATAAGGCATGTATTAATTTTACAAAGTCTTCAAGATTTACATTCCTACTAGCTATAAAATACATTCCTACTAGCTATAAAACCAATTTTCTGTGAAACCTCTTTAAAATATGAATCTATTGTTATATCTTTAATGTACTACTTGTAATTTGGCTAATTTCTGGCCAAAATCAAAAGATGTTTGACTTTTGAAATAAAATATACCTTATAAAGAAAATCAATGGATGAATGGAACATTGAATTAAGAATGCGTAGCCAAATTGCCAATGTTTTTGAGTGTTTAATATCTCTGTTAACTGAGTCATGTATTATGGATATGAACACCCACATGGCAGGCTATAGATTTTCTTTACCTTCCATGGCTGTTTTGACTCTTGGCTAAATTAAATTTACCTGTTAACAAAATACAACATATGTTGAAATTTGCTGTAGCAAATTTAAATGATTTTGCCCTTTTCTTATTGCCATTTCCTAACAAAGCTATTCAACCTAGGATTGGTCTGGTGCTATGAAATTGAGCATTAATTTCTTTTCTCCATTTTTCAAAATTATCTCATGGATGCTTGATAATATACGTTTTCCTTTTTTTTTGGTCTGAGTCCAAATACGGTATTGATTTCATCGTGTTATTATATTATGGCAGATCGATGATTCCACAAAATGCAGCTTTGGACCATATAAGCACACCTTCAGAAAGTGGTGAAATACCTTTGGTTATAAATGTTGAAAGTCAGCACATTTTTTGACGATTCTATGGCATGGAAGGGGATACTTTGTTAGCTGACATACAACTGGCACTTCCAAATAGGTGCTATTTGTTACCTTCAGGCATGCACAAATCTAATACATCATCATGTCCTACTATCACATGTGAAGAAGCTCTTAAGAGGGAGTTGGAGTATCGGCAAAAAATTGAAAGGAGTCATCCACATCTGCTGGTTGGCCTTAATGGATCCCCTGCATTGCTGAATGTAAGTTTCTTTTTTTTTTTTGACGGTTGAATGTAAGTTTCTGATTTGATGGCTTTCAGTATAACTTCGTAGCAAACATTCTATGACTGGATTAGAAAAATGCAACTAGCCTACTAAGCTGACCAATAGAAGATATTTGAAAATTTCACAATCAGATGTTTTCTTCGCTAATAGAATAAAGTGAGAGTAGTCTACCCTGTAATTTTAATGAGAAAGTAGCTTTCCCTCTTGGTGTTAGTGCAGTTTGATCGGTTGTGTTATCCCTATGTAATTAAAGGTATATACTTGAGTTGTTGTTTTGTAGTTTTACCTATGGTTAGGTTCTAAACCATGCAGCTCTATAATAGGGTTAAGTCCGATTTATGCCCCTCAACTATCACCAAAGTTTGATTTACCCCATCAACTCTAATACCCGACGTTTTACACTTATCAACTTTTTAAACCGGACCAAAGACACCCCTCAGTGGTTTAGTTCTATGTAACATAGACATGTTCATATGGGGCCCACTGTCAGCCCCTATTCATCTTCTCCCTCCCAACTCTCTCCCCATCTTTCTGTTTGTTGAGCTTGGAGCAGTGCAGCCGCAGATCTTCCGCATATCCGCTTCTCAAAATTTTTCCTACTCTAGTGAGCTGCATGTGATTATGTGAACTGCACAGCATGCATCGTTTGGTTCATCAAGGTTGCACTGATCCTCAATTTGTAATAAAAATCATGGGTCGGACAAACCAACAAACTAACTAACGGACAGGAAAACAATTTTAAATGGGCAATTAAGTGACAAGAAACTAAAGAATAAAAAAAAAATTCTGTACCTAGGAGCCAACAAAGGACTCCCCAAATTCTTCAATAGGAAAGCATAAATCTGAAAGCGGCTAGTGGCCATACATACAAATAACGAGTACAGCAGCATGCTAGCGGAGGCACAGGAGCAGCAGGATGGCAGCGCCGCAGCAGTGGCTTTTGAGAAGCTTGGAGGTCTACGGCTGCACTGTTTGAAGCTCAACAAACAGGGGGGGGGGTTAGGAGGAGGAAGAAGATGAATAGTGGCTGACAGTGGGTCCCATATAAACATGTGTATGTCACATAGGACTAAACCACTTTTGATTTGGGCAGGGGGATGTATTTGGCCCGGTTTTAAAAAGTTGATGGGTGTAAAACGTCCGGTATTAGGAGTTGAGGGTGGTAAATCAAAATTTTGTGATATTTGAGGGGGTTAAATCAGACTTAACCCTCTATACTATGTTCTAATATACAGGACAATTGCAAATTTCATTTTGTAGCATGCATCACTATCCAGGATTTCCTTTATCATGTAACCATGAAACTAATGATTATTTTAGTTATTGATACCAGTATACCGCTAGAATGTTTCCTCATCAAAATTTGACATCTTTGAATGGTAATCCCAAAGAGGTCGAATGACCTCGCCGCTCACCTATGTGGGCTGATATTACATCACATGGCCAAGCGGGAACTAGAGGGAAGGAGTAGGAGAACTGAGCTTGCCAGTGGTTAAGGTGTGACAGTGGTGGTTGCTATAGCTAGAGGCAAGGAAGCACAAAGGAGGAATAGAGGAATGAGGATGAAAAAAAAGCACATTGTGGTGTTAGATGCCACGAGAGCATATTTGCAGTGGCATATCCATTAGTCTGATGCATTCACTTTACAATGGGAATATGGAAAACATCTAAATAACCCTCAAAATAATGATTCTGAATGACTTTTCATTAGATGTACACTTGGATGTTGACTCAATCCCTTGTAAAGTTGATGCCTCTGCATTCTGAATTTCTGATTTTAAATATTCTTTTGCATTTGCTCTTCTAGGGCTATGTATACAAGCATATATTTTAGAGTAAATTACTAAATTTCACTAAATTACGGATACTATGATCAAATTACTAAATTTCAAAATTGTAGATTTAACTCGGTGTATCACAAAACTACACATTTTAGATGAAGTGTCAAACTACATGTTTAGTAACTAAATTATCACAAAACTACAAGTTTAGAATCAATTTAGTTACAAAACAGTAATGTTTATAGCTCTAGCATAATAATGGTGCTAAGGATTTAAACTCTAAAACCTGTAGTTTTGTCATAACTTCAATATTAAATATGCAGTTTTGTGATACTTAACCTTAATTCTGTAGTTTTGTGATAAATATGATGCTAAATCTGTAGTTTTGTGATACAACGCCTTAAATCTGTAGTTTTACGATAGTTTGATCAAAATACCTGTAGTTTTATGAAATTTACTCTTATTATTCTCCAGAATCATGAAAGACCATGCGCTATTGTTGCTACGTCTTTTGTTCATCGTACCTTGCTACATTACTTTACAGAAATAAATTGGTGTTAACATGTCCTTAAAAAAAAAAACTTCCAGGAGGTTGGATCTGGTTCATCACCTGATTTGTCAATGAGGAACTCAGCCCATGACAGCTATATGCCCTCACCACAGGCATGTTTTGTTGGTTCCACTGTACAAAGACCACCAGCAAATTGGTACCCCTCAAAGAAAAAGTTGAAAGTTCTACAGCATCCTTCACAGGCTTTGCAGGCCCCCAGGCCAAATTTGATACCTTCCTTTTGGTGCAAAATTTGTAAGGTGGATTGTGTTACAGAATTTAATTTTGGTGCCCATATTGGAGGAAAAAAACACAAGGCAAAAAAGCTGGAGATTCTTGGTAATAGAAACAATGCAAGACCTGCCACTGGCAATCAATGTACAGGTAATAGAAATCCCAGACCAAATGGCAACGCAGGTTCTGGAAGCAGAAACAATGAACCAAATGTGTTTAATAGCAATATTGCCCAACCAAGCAGTGACACTTTCTCTGGAAGTCAAACCAACGGAACAATTGGAAATGTATGTACTTCTCTGTTAATGACTGCTTGCAACTTACATGGCTATATGTTTATAACAAGTATTTTGATTTCATTTTCCTCTGAAATACTAATCGACATGTTTAATTCTCAGCCTCACAAGGAAATGTCATCTGATGGTGATGGAATAAGCAATAGCAAACTAGAGCAAAATGTATGAGCCTCCGACCATAGTGCAATATGGTATATGCTGTACTTTTGTGATACCAACTAACTCTTTGTTCCTTCTATGAAATGCACAGTGCTGATACTGGATCATCTGAACACAAGTGATGAATAAAGATACTTGAAGCTTATGGTTGAACCGGTAAGTCCTGTTTTATGTAATTCAGATTCACCAGTCATTTTCTTTTAATCGATTGTAAACTGGTCACGAGTCCTGCATGCTTGGAGCGTAAAATGTTATAGTTTAGTTTTTCAGATGAGTGTAGTATTATATGTCCATATGCCTTATAGGCTTAAATCATCATAATTTTGCTGGTGTATTGCTTTGCCTTTACAGTCAGGGTTCTGTTGAATGATTCTATTTCTATATCTGTTTGTTAGGCTGTGCGTGGCTTTACCATTTAGCATCCTTAGAGGAAGGGTCGTGTTAACTCTAAGCTTATTCGTTTTGCAAGGTTATAGCATACTTCAGGAACATCTTCCCAGTTGTCCCCATGTGTGTGTCATGCCACAAGTGCAGCCAAGGATTTGAGCACCACACTTTGGGCAAAGAAACGGGAGGTACTGCAGCTGAACTGTGGCGTGCTGTCATTCAGTAAAGAAACAAACTTGGCTGGAACCAAACAGGTCTTTAACCTGCTGATGTACATAGTTTTCTCTTTACACTAGTTGTCTTATTTTTTGTTGCAAATCATGTAGAAATAAAAAAAAATCCTTGCTTGGATGATGGTATCTTGCATGCTTTAGCTTGAATTGCTCTGGAAATTTTATCTGGTCAGTAAGACAGTTTCTGGTTATCACTCTTCTGTCTTCTCCAGTTTTCTTTGGTCATAATTTTGCTTTTAGTTTGTATAGTTCAAATATCATAATTTATTGCAATGTACCTTTGATATTTGTTTGTCTGTTCAACCAACAATTCTTCATTTTGAGACATGAATCCTCTAAGGATTGCAGACATAAGGGAATTCTGCTGCTTATATGATGTCCGCAGTTCTGATTTTCTCTCCAAAGTTTTCGTGGCTGGAGTTATGTAGAATTGTAGATACAATATCTCAAATCTTCATGGCTAGTACTAGAATCTATCTTGACATGTTCTCTCTTAACTACGCCTTGGACGCCTTTTTCCCTGTCGGAATGATAGGTCCGTCATAACCTAATCTGATGTTTGGTTGTATAGTTATTTGACTAGTTAGTGGCTGTCTTAAGACACCAATTGTTATGAAGATTTGGAGGTCTTGTTTCAGTAATCCAGTTATCCCTCTAGTCACATGCATTGCCATGGGCTTCCAAGCTTAAATATTTTGATTACTCGTCGGGAATACACATCTAAGAGAATGATATTTTAGATAATGGATTTGAAAAAAACCCGGCCTCTACACCCTGCAGGATATTTGCAGCCACAAAGTTATGTAGTCTGAGCATTTAAACTCGCAATACAGGTTTCAAGCAACAAAACATAAACCCCAGGCACTAGGCTTCCGAACGGTATCTAGCAGCAACAAAACAGAGAAAACAAAGTTCGAAACTTCCAACCTTCCTCTCCAATGATGTTTGCTTTATTTTTTAAGGACTGTTTTACCAATCTGAAATGTTACGGTGAACTGAATATGGCTAAATATTCCAGACGTGTAGAACTTGTAGCCCAGAATGAACGAACGGTCCCAATCAATCATAGCGTGGAAATAAGGTGCACGTTTTGCCATCACAATCAACTTCTTATCTCGACCGTTGATCATTCAATTCGATGTCTGCTCTTAGCTTTTTCTCTCACTTGGAAACCGACCGTTCCTTGCCTGATTAGATCATTCGAACGGTTGATTGCTTATTTGGTGTTAGCTGATCGCCGTCCATGTGACCACTGATCACAAAAGCTTCTTGCCAATATGACAGTAACATAGCTCTGAAGAATTCTCTTGATCCAGAACTGCCAGCTGAAAATTAGCACACTCCAATTCTCCAAATGCTCAGCAACCACAAGTTCACAACTGCAATGGTTAGTCGACGCAGCTAAGCTCCAAACACCATTGGTCCCTGTAGCCACCATGCTCCAAGTTGCTGTCCATTGTGTCCGTATTCTCCTAATCCATTCTAGCCAAGAATTCTCTCTCTTCTCATCAAGCCAAGAATTCTCTCTTCTCACCAAGCCATGTACTTTGAGCAGAGCAGCCGCTGCTCAGCCACAAGCTCCGCTGCGGTCCACGTGTCGCTATTGTGTTACGACACATCGCGCGCCGCCATTGGTCCGGAACAGAGCCCCAAAAAGCGAGCTATATCCAATCTTGGATCGATGGCTAGAGAGATTTGTGGCGCAGCTGCTTCCGGTTCCTCCTATTTACTTAGCTTGTCAAAACACATTACTCACTAGTAGCGTACACTACCACAGCTAGCAATGGAGACCTCGTGCTTCCTTACCTCCAATGCCTCGCCGGTGAAGAGCATGGTGATGCCGTCGCCGGCCGGCGTCGTGAAGGCCAGGCCGCACGTGCTCTTCGGCGGCCGGCGAGCGGCGAGCTCGTCGGTGACCACCTGTGAGTGATCGATCACATGTTTGGTTGGTGATTCTTTGATGGATTCTTGTTTTGTTGGGTTTGATTAGATGTGTGTGTTTATTTGGCAATTGGCATGTGCAGGCTGCAGCTACAACGGCGAGGGCGCGGCGCCGGCGATCGACCCGGACTGGCGGTCGTTCAGGGCGCAGCTCTACTTCAACGAGCAGTACGCGAAGAGCGTGAACCCGGCGGTGGCGGCGGTGAGGGCGACGGCGACGACGCCGGAGCCGGTGAAGATCGGCGACAAGTGGGCGCACCCGCTAGTGGAGCCGGAGAAGGGGTGCCTGCTGATCGCGACGGAGAAGCTGGACGGGTCGCACATCTTCGAGCGCACGGTGGTCCTCCTCCTGTCCGCCGGCGTGCTGGGCCCCGTGGGCGTGATCCTGAACCGGCCGTCGCTGATGTCGATCAAGGAGGCGCAGGCGGTGTTCGCGGAGACGGACATCGCGGGGGCGTTCTCGGGGCGGCCGCTCTTCTTCGGTGGCCCGCTGGAGGAGTGCTTCTTCCTGCTGGGGCCGCGGGCGGCGGCGGCGGGGGACGTGGTGGGGAGGACGGGGCTGTTCGACGAAGTGATGCCCGGGGTGCACTACGGGACGCGGGAGAGCGTGGGGTGCGCGGCGGAGCTGGTGAAGCGCGGCGTGGTCGGGGTGAGGGACTTCCGCTTCTTCGACGGCTTCTGCGGGTGGGAGAGGGAGCAGCTGCGCGACGAGGTGCGCGCGGGCTTGTGGCGCGTGGCGGCGTGCAGCCCCGCCGTGCTGGGCCTCGCCACCGTCGTCAAGGGCGGACTCTGGGAGGAGGTGCAGGGCCTCGTCGGAGAGAGGAGGGTGTGGTGACTGATTACTTCTCAAGGGTGACCATTATGTAATTAATTAATTAATTAATCTCTTAATTAACTCGCAAGTAAAGTATTTACTCCTTTCAGATTAATGATTTTAGGCTTTTAGTCATCACGGTAGGTTTAAAGAGGGTTGTATTTGTATACTCTGTATCTTGTACTCTTATCGTTTTGCCCACCACTACGCGAACACACCTCGATGCCCTTCTCGTCTCCAACGCATACACTACTTCATACTTTATAATTAAAGCCTTAACTTTCAAATCAAAATTCTTTCAATTTTAGAAATTTCAGCTTAGAATGTCAAATTTTCAATACATTCTACCACTCATTTTAAAATTTCTACATAAATATTGGCAAGTTTGTACCGATAAACTCAAATGTTTAATTCACGTAACAAAACACCATTGAGCAACTTGGAGCCTCAAACACCATTCAAAAGCCTCAAACTTCCAACTGAATGGTGCTCGCTTTGCCAAACACCATTGAGCAACTTGGAGCTCACCTGCATCTAGATCCAAGAGTAAGAAGAATTTGTGTGAAGTGACTTGCTATCCTTGGAGATAAGAGGCTCGTCCATGACCCGGGGGGGGGGGGGGGGGGGTTGTATAGAAACAAACACGTCTTATGAGAGGTTCATCTGCTCCGCCACTATGCTAGGAACTTAATTGGGCTGCACATGGGCTATATATTTTACCCATAATCCAAGGCCGGGACTACGAGCCTCAGAAAGAGGATACAAAAACAAACAACATTGGATGTACTATCTATCTACTCTCTCCGTCCCATAATATAAGAGATTTTGAATTTTTGCTTGTAGTGTTTGACCACTCGTTTTATTCAAAAAATTTATGTAAATATAAAAAACGAAAAGTTGTGCTTAAAGTACTTACGATAATAAAGTAAGTCAAAGAAATAAATAATAATTCCAAATTTTTTTAATAAGACGAGTGGTCAAACACTACAAGTAAAAACTCAAAATCCCTTATATTATGAGACGGAGGGAGTATCTATCTATCTATTATATACTAAAAGTCCATTAAACTTCCTATGAACGCTCCTAAGCCACCACGTGGCACCTCTACAAACTCTCCTACGTCGCCACATGGCACTCTAATAAATTAGAAGAATTAAGCAAATGTGAACTAGTTGGTTTTCATTTAATCTGGTGGATCCATTATTTTTAACCGTTAGATATATAGCATAGAAAATGTCAAATAGATTTATTATCTTTAAAAATCCACACATGCGCCGTACGTGTACGTGCATGTACGTACATATTTTGTACGTGGGCCCCACGCCCCCTTTTCTTTTTTTTCTTTTTCACTAACACATGAGAAAAAACAAAATTCATATTCCAGCCCATATAGTTCGGAGTATGTACTTGCATGTAGGGCCCCACGTCCCCACATTTCTTTTCATTTTCCTTTTTTCACTCACATAAGATAAAAACCACATTAATAATTCCAACCCATAGTTGTACAAATATATTTATTTTTGAGTTGTATTGTACTATACGCACATCATTGAAATATTCATAAAATATCTAAATAAATGAATAATATACATTATATAATTATATAATTGTATGTCACTTAATGACATGTATTGTTAAATTAGAATTGCATTTTGAAAAATAAAAACAACTCCAGTTGTGAGTAACATTGCAAAAATGATTCGCTCCCTACTATAAGAAAATACTGTTATATCGGAATAATATTATTAAATTATCATAATTACACTCTACCAATCATATACCTAATAATTAAAAAATTACTAAAAAAGATAAAAATAACTTGACAAATATTAGTGCACTACCACATTATTCATAAAAAATAAGGAAAGCTATTTTTTATTAACTATACTATTAATAATTTTAATGTTATGATTTAATAAGTAATATTATTATTTATTTGTTAACTTTTTTTATACCGTTTAGCTGTTCGAGAAACGTGCTCGCTACAAATAAGGGAGTATCTAATCCTATAAGCTCTTTAGAACACACTCTTAAATTTATTACTTAGATACAAACACAATATATACTATACAATATATTTGGTCAATCCTGGCCTAAAATATCAATCGTAAATCCTCACTGATCCTCATGTATGTAAGTTTTATATATAAGCCATTATCCACTAATCATCAAGCCATATTGCTTACGAGGCATGTGTGCACAGTGCATATAACGATTAGTTGGCCCTTGATTTACTTGGGGTTGGCAATGAGCAAAGATAAGGTGACTAAGAGGGAGTTGTTACCAATCATGCAAAAAGTTGAGAAAAGGATGGATAGCTGGCAAAGTGGACACTGTTGGTATTTTTTAACGATAATACTAGAAATCTAATTCCCAGCAATGGCGCAGAAATACTCGTAGTATATTATGGTTACAGATTTCATCCGCAAACGCACGGATATTCTATTGTAGCATTTTATCCGAGAATATTCCAAGGGTATCGTATTTGTTTAATCCCATGGGAAGATTATAATAGAGAAAACCAAGCTAATATTTATATGTTACTTGTAATAATCAAAGTCTAAGCAGGGGTTAGTTCAATTCAAAGGGTAGGGTGACACAAAGCTGAAGCATTCACTATTCTCATATATACTAATTCTAGGCTAAATGGAAAGAATAAGAAAATAATCATTTCCTATACTTCTAATATACATACATACACTTCAGTCAATATTATCTACTATATAATCATATAACCAATACCCCTCTTACGATGCCCTCCTGGTGTTTCGAGAGACCACCCCTGATTGCCGAGTTCCTTACGACAACCCGTCATGGTCATCCAACCGGGGTTAAATACGGAGGAGTACCCTCCCCAGGAAAGTAACTTTGGATTATATACACGCGTGGAGGAATACCCGTATTGAGCTGTCACCATCAACGGCCCACCTCGGCATATTCATAGCATGAGATGAATGGGAATAGATTGGATTATAGTAGATGAAATAACAAGGAACAGTCCTGAACCTAAACAGCGCGACGCTCTCCGTTGCACTGAGAAGGCAGGCCGATAGGCACTGAGATAAATCTTGATCTAATGCCTAACTGACCTGAGATAGGATTGCTCCTTATATAGATGGAGGACTCCTTAATCTAATCCTAACAAACCCTAACTCTATCTAATGAGCCTAGGACTCCTGGCCCAAAGCCCATGACATTACTCCCCTCTTTTTGAGCAGCTCGTCCTCGAGCTGCAGCACACCCTGCTAGACTCAAACGAAGTACCATAACCTAAACAAAGACTTTCAAGCCTTTTACATCTTGGCTTGCTGTTATTATGGACGAAAATAGAACAAAATTCATTGTTATTGCCAGGCTACTATGCAAGCAGCATGCACAGGAGGACCCCACCCAAGAACCTTGAGTGAAAGGAGGGCTCGAATAGTAACCCAATCTCCAGTCCAATTGACCACCAGAACAGCCCACCAGTAGATTCCGACGGAGGCCTTGACCAAAAATCCTTGGCCCAAAATATGATAATGATCCACCTTTACGTATGGGCCAACATGGAAACCAACCAGCCCAACCAGGAGAGGACAGAAACCATATCTCCCTTTTCTTCCGGAGACCACGCCGCTACGAGCGACGAGCTGCAAACTTCTAGCGCTTGGACTTGGCGCGATCTGTGCCGCCTCCACGCCTCTACCCATCGAGCGCACGAAATGGGCCAACCCCGCGAAGCACGCGGTTCGCGAGTAGATCGTGCCAAACCAGGCGCTCAAAGAAACTGCTCCGCCTCCCATGGCTCTGCTCCAACCGTCAGCGAAATTTGCGCCGCTAACTGCGGAAACCGCGTCACATCTCCTAGAAATTGCGCTTGAGAACCGAACGCCCAAGCCGTGTTGTGTCGCCGTCGAAGTGGAACTCGCCGTCGTCTTCGCTGCCTCCGTCGAGGGCGCCAACGGCGATGACGCCATCGCCAGGCCCAGCGGTGTGATCGAGTGCTGGATAGGCTGGATCTCCCATGACCTGGTTCTGTCGGCCTTGTTCTTTTAGATGTTAATGAAGCACACCGTTTCCCCACAGTAGATACCGGCGGCTTGGGCAGAGGAGCTGTCGTTGATGCCATCCCCAACACCACGCCACCAGATCTTGTTTCCGCCAAGATGAGCAGCAGAGCTCCTGGCAGACGACCGCGAGGGGCAGCCATCTTTGGCTTGAAATTGACCGCGAGGCGGCTCATCTTCTTCCTCGAGCTGGCACCTCGCAACCGACGCTTGAAATTGTGCTGCCGTGGTCGCAGGAACATCACGACCTGCCGGTCAGATCGCTCGGTGGCTCCGAGAGACATGGCCTGCTCGGCTGATAGAGCCACTAAAGCCTGGACTTGCTCTGCCAAGTCCATCAGCCTCTTCGAAATCTCGGCAAGGTCATTGCTGATGTTGGCGCAAAGGTGTCAGGAACCGCAACGATCTCGGAACCCATGGGCACGAAACCGAAGCTCTGATACCAAGTTGTCACGAGCAAGGATTATGTGGAGAAGAATCGAGATGAATAGGAATAGATTGGATTATAGTAGATGAAATAACAAGGAACAGTCCTGAACCTAAACAGCGCGACGCTCTCCGTTGCACTGAGAAGGCAGGCCGATGGGCACTGAGATAAATCTTGATCTAATGTCTAACTGACCTGGGATAGGATTGCTCCTTATATAGATGGAGGACTCCTTAATCTCCTTAATCTAATCCTAACAAACCCTAACTCTATCTAATGAGCCTAAGACTCTTGGCCCAAAGCCCATGACATATAACCCCAAATAATGATATTCAATAGCTTAAGCACCTCGCTTATGCTACCAAATACTACTCTACAATCACTGTCGTGACTTAAAGTAATGATATAAATGAATATTATACCCACACCATTCCATCTCCCGAGAAAGCTAGCTAAACAATTATATCTCGAATAATATCTCATAAAGTAGGTACTCAAATAGTCAGAGTGAAGTAAAGTATCGTAAATATATTGAGAAGAATATTCTATAAATATTGCAAGTCTTACAAAAGAAGGAAAAGCTGCTAGAGCCATACCCGAACTCTTCTGAAGACTCCGAGAACTGAAGATTCTATTCTATTTCTATTCCACTATATTCTGGAGACTATACTAAACTTGAGAGAATGTATATATGAATCTTCTTGCTTAAGGTGTGTGTTGAAATGGAGGATGAGAGCTCCTTTTATAGCATGGCAATGACGGTTATGGCGGTTGGAAAGATCGGTAATACCCTCCAACCGCCATAGGGAAGCAATCCAGACCATCCAGCGCCAACCCTGCATCGAACGGCTGCATGGTTCGGCCGAACCATGGGCTAGGCCAAACCAGCTCAATCTCGGCTGGCGGCCTTCTTATCTCTTCCCTTATTCAGAACAACAAATTTTGGGCCTATTGGATTGTGGCAATTCTGTGTTCTTGGCCCATTCATCCATAAGTCTGATTCTCGATAGCGTTCGTTTGATTGATCGTCCGTTTTGCTGCCAATTCTCCTCCATTTTGTGTTATTCTCTGCAAGAGGTTAGAAAGCCTAGTGCTAGTGGAATATAACTTATTCTAACACAAATACACATTGCAAGCATAACTAGTTCTCCTTTATTTTGATAATATCGACGGGTAAAACTGATCGATAACGACCATCAACAGACACCTTTTCTATGGTGGGAGGGAGATAAGGATTAATGTTTGCCTGACCAGCATTGCTTTGTACACTATGGGGTTCTATCATCTTCCTGAGGAGTTCCATAAGAAGATGGAATCAATTAGGGGGAGATTTTACTGGCAAAAGAAGAGATACCATATGCTGAAATGGCAGGCCCTTTGTAAACCAAAAGATTTTGGGGGGCTTGGTTTCATTGACACAAGGCTGATGAATACAGCAATGTTATGCAAATGGATTGTTAAGCTGGAAAATAACTCTAAGGACATGAGTTGTGAAGTGCTGAAAAGGAAGTACCTGAGGGATGGTAGAAGTTTCTTTAGCAGTTCTTCAATTGGGGGTTCTCAATTCTGGAAGGGACTTCATGCTGGCAAGAAGTGGCTGCAGTTGTTCATGGAGAGAAAAGTAGGGAATGGAAAACATACCTTATTTTGGGAGGATGTGTGGTTAGTGTCAGAGTATATGGTAGTTAGAGTCATATTAGGATAGGATTGATTTGTGTGGACTCCTTCCATATCTGTAATCCTTCCATATCTCCTCCCATGTACTCCTATATATACCTGCCCCCTGAGGCTCAATACAATATGTCCAATATTCGCAGTATCCTCTTTCCCCATACTATCCAACATGGTATCAGAGCGGGCGATCTAGTCGCCTCTCTCTCACGCTTCCGCTCATCGCCCCCGGGAGGGTTTCGATCTCCTGGGGGCGGCCACCCGTTTTTCGTTTTTTTTTCTCGTCGTGCTTCGCCGCCGAGATCGATCTCGATCTCCTCGGCATCGTCGAGTCGTCTTCGCGTCATTGTGAAGAAGTCAGTAGCATCGTACCATCCACATCGTCGTCGCCGATCTGGAGGGCATGGCCGACCTGATCTCCACCAGCACCCTGACGTCGCCGGTAGGCCGCGCCGCCCGCTGGTCGTCGGCCTCACCTAGGGCAAGGCCGCCCCGACGCCACCGGCGCCATCTTCATCAAGCTTCGTCCGGGCGCCGGTGTTGCTATGGTCGTCGCGGTGTCGTTGGCGCGGCACAGAGTACGGGGGGACACATCCCTGCCGGTTCCTCCTCGGCGGCCGCCTACGCCTGCAGGCCGCCGTTCACCGTCGACGCCCCCTCCACCATCCACGCAACCATCTGGCAGTCGTCATCTGGAGGTCGTCGTCGTTGCGGTCGAGGTGCGGTCGAGGTGCGGTCGCAACCATCTGGCAGCCGCACGCCCTCCGCCTTCGGTCGCCGGCCTGGCTGACGGGGTGCCGCTTTCTGCTGTCCGCCGGGCTGCCGGCCTCGGCTGCTCACCTCGAGGTTGTCTCCTTGGCTGCGCCGACAGCACGTCTCCACCAGCGCCTCCCATCCGTTCGCCGGCCTCAACGCCCACCGCCTGGCGCTCTCCCTCCCCCCGCTCTGTCTCTCTCGGAGATGGTGGACGCGTTGACTGTTCGTCTGCTCCATGCCAATGAAGTGAGAGATTGGGGATGAGCAAGTTATTCATGGGCTCAGGACTGTGTGAACTTGGTCCATGGACCATGGAAGACGTGGAGTTTGGCTTCTACTGTGGACTACTGCATGCTACTGTATCAATTTTTTTTTCCGAACAGAGTTTGGGTTTGCGTCGCCCACCGCCTCGTCGACATCCGCGCGTCTCCGATATCGGCATCGACTCAGCTTTGACTTTATCATTCCGCCTCGCGCATCTTCGGCTTGATCACCCGTTCAAGCGCCCGGCTACAACGACTTCTACAACCGATCGTCATCGAGCACGCGTCTACGTCATCAAGCTTTGGGTTGCCGCTGCGTCGCCCTCTCGGGCTGCAGTGTCGCCGCCTGTGGTCCACCTCTACTGGTTGTTGGAATGCTGAGAGGCGCCCTCCTCAGCGTGGCCTCACCGCCGGTGGAGTTCTCGCTGCTGCATCGACATCGAGCTGCACCTGTGTTGCCCCTTCGGGTCACAGCGTTGCCCCTGTCATCTTCATTGCCGTTCGCACATCGACAACCTCGTCGTCTGCACTGGTCATCATCAGCCGCTCAGAGTCTTCTTCGTCTACTTCGAGCATCGCCGCCGCATCTCCAAGCTGCCATTGTCGCCACTCTAGGCCGGTGGTCCAGCTACCTCTACATGGCTACCGACGTCACCGTCCAGGCCATTGGTCCCGCTACTTCGCCTTCTACTTCATCCAGCATGACTCATCGCCAGCGTCGCCGTATCTTCCTCGACTACACTTCGCTCTTTTCCAACAACCGCATGCTGCTCCGGCAATTCTCCCTCTACGCCGTTCTCGTGCCGCAATCGTCTTGGAGGCCTTCTCTGCTAGTCTCCTCCGACATTGGGATATGATTCATGGTGGTCCCCTGTCTCGCCCGCGCGATATTGGCAACACTGGCGCGCGCGTTCGTCCCGAGTTGTCCCGGAGTCTGGCAAACCTTGTGTGACGTCTCGTCCTTCACGGTTCGACTACATTGGCTCTTCGGCGTCATCTTCCTCAACGACTGCCGCGATTGTGTCACCGTCTTCATCTCCGGTGCATCCTCACACACCTTGGTCCACGACGCCCTCCCGTGCGTCCACGACCACTCTACGGCGCCTCATGCGCTCCCTGTGGCTCGGCTACCTTGACATCAGCTTCCTGACTTCGGCTACAACGACCACGGCTACTCTACGCACGACTTCATCGACCACGGCTCCCTCGCATCCATCGCTTTGGCTATGTCGACAACGGCACAAAGGGCTATCATCCGTGTTGAGCACTCTTGCCGTTTTCTTCTCCATTCCAAGTGTCCACGCTGCTCACGCTTGGACTGCGGGGGGATGTTAGAGTATATGGTAGTTAGAGTCATATTAGGATAGGATTGATTTGTGTGGACTCCTTCCATATCTGTAATCCTTCCTTATCTCCTCCCCATGTACTCCTATATATACCAGCCCCCTGAGGCTCAATACAATGTATCCAATATTCGCAGTATCCTCTTTCCCCATACTATCCAACAGTTAGGACAAGCTCCTCTTAGAGTGCAGTACCCTGGGTTGTATAAATTAGTTTGCAATGTAAGAAGTCTGTCAGACATGTGTGGGATAGGGTAAAATTGGAGTTAAGTTTCAGAAGGCAATTGAATGAAGAGAATACTTTAGAACTACAGGAACTAATAGGTAGGTTGAAAGGGTTTGGTATTACAACAGATAATGACCAAATTGTTTGGCCTTATGGGAAGAAAGGGGAGTACAATGCGAGATCCTTGTATAGATCATTAAGTTTTGGTGGGGTTACATATGCTGGTAGTATGGCAAAGTAAAATTTCTCTTAAGATCAAACACTTTGTGTTCTTAGCCATAAGAGGGAGAATTCTTTGTGCAGTAGAATTGATCAAAAAGAAATGGAGAGGGGGTGATGAATTTTGTAAGCTCTGTGGGAAAAGGGAATGAGTGAATCATGTTTTGTTTAACTGCTCTATTGCCAAATTGTTTGGTGTGTGATTAAAGAGTCTTTGGGGTTAGATTTGACTCCTGGCAACTTAGGGGATGTCTTGGCTATGTTTAAAAAGAAACTAGGGAGTTCAATGGGTGTTTTTTTAGTTGTTGTGTGTGTTTGGACGATTTGGCTCAATAGAAATGATTGGGTTTTTGAAAATATTCTGGTCAAATCTCCTTTGCAGGTGGCGTACAAGGCCGTTGCTATGATGCAAAGGTGGAAGGAGTTACTAAAGGGGGGAGGTCGAGGGCAAGTAGATAACTGGAGAGACAAGATCTTGGCAAACTTGGCGCGGCTGCGGCAACTTTGTGACCCTCCTGAATTCATCTTACGCTGGTGGTTGATGCTGGAGCTGGTTTTTGGGTGGTGTTTTCTCTGTGATCGTGGTGTCAGCTTTGCTTGAATGTTAGCTGGAAACCCCAGCCTGTTTATTAGTTTGTGTCCTGGTTTTCTTTTTCAGTTAGATTGTTGTTTGTTTGAGACTCTGTTCCTTTTGGCTTGGTTTTCAAGCTGGGTAATGAAAATTGCCTGATCTCAAAAAAAAGAAAAAAAAAGAAAAAGCGGCGTCAGGACGACGGATCGGCGCCTCGGCGGCGGCTGCGGTTGATACGGAGGAGATCGCGGCAGCGGTTGAGACTTGAGAGGAAGGCGGACGGATCAAGACACCGCTCGGCCGTTTTCTTTTCGCTGATTCCGGATCGCGATCGATCGAGTCGCGCGACGGTGGTGTGCGGACTGCGGAGGAGGAGCGCGTAGTTCCGATTTTCTGATCCACACATGTGCTTACATGCAAAAATTTCGCGATTCCCAGCGACACGAAATATTAACAGAATTCATTTGGTTTAGATAAGCCATACGCGTGCGACGGCGCCGAATCTATCCACCAAGATAATTAAACTAATCTCCAGATTATTTCTCATCCAAGCCTGCTTCCCTCCTCTATAAATTGACTCCACCCCGGCCGAGGTTTCCTCACCCATCTCATCAACGCCTTCTTGCTCTCTATCTCTCTCTTTTTCGCATCCTTCTTAGTATTGGCAAAAGCTCGTTGTCGTGCTCCGGCCATGAAGACGACGATGGCGGCGGCGGCGACCTGCCTCGTGGCGCTGCTGGTGGTGGTGCTCGCGGAGGCGGCCGGCGTGGGCTGCACCACCGTCGCCTACAATGACCGCAGCCTGGTGATCGACGGCGAGCGGCGCATCATCATTTCAGGATCTATCCATTACCCGAGGAGCACCCCGGAGGTATAATGAAAATTAGCTATGGATATATTGATCGCTATGCGCATGCATGCATGCATGCAAAAATACGTGTGATTGTGGTAGGTCTTAGCCGTCTTTTGATATTGCATGTACATGAGATGAGATTAGTACGTGCGATTTTGGTTTTGTTCTTCATATATATGCTATACACCAATCTCAAAGGATCGCATAAAATCTAACAGTAGCCGTCATTTATATCTACTGTAATTATTTCTTATAGATCACATTTATATCTACTCTAGATGTCTACAAATTTATATTCTCTCAGTTTTTCTAGTCATACACCCGCGCACATCATTATTCTTTTTTTCACCAGTTGCTTGGCTCATAACATCGTTATACATATGGTCGAATATGACTAACAGTACGTATTTACTTAAGTAGATTAATCTTCGCATCATACTTTCACAGTACGTATAATATCCTACTAGCGATCGATCGACTATGATAGAATATATGACTAACAGTACGTATTTACTTAATTAGATGAATCTTCGCATCGTACTTTCACAGTACGTATTAAGTACTGACATGAAGATCAGTGTTAATTAGCTATACTTACAGGCTACTATATGTCGTATTAAATAGCCTAACCTCACCATCTTTATTTTCATTGGTCTGTCGTATTTCAAGGCTAGCTAGTAAAAAACTCAGAAATCGTATTTTCTTCTGACCTCATATATATTTCATGAATCTCAGATACACACACATGCCGGTATATATATAACTTATATAGTTATACACTGGGAAGATGATCCCGGTGAGAAAAAAAAATCATTCCGATATGTATACAATTAATAATGATAACTTTATTTTCAATTTAAATGGAAATTCTAGTTTTATATTTTGTTTTGTTAATGTGGTAGTTTTTAATTATAATTAAGATCTGCTCATGCTAATACTGGGCCTGCCCTGGGGCAGTGTGAGCGGTGCAATCGCACTGGGCCCCACGACTTCATGGGCCCCCGGGCCCCGGCCATGTACACAATAATACCTCTGCCTAGCCTGCACGGTCAATACAATTTACACATAAAGCAGTAAAGCACAGATTATGTACAGGCACGTTAACGTTAGCAAAAACCAGGAAACCCATCAGTTCTTGCGCAGTTGCGCCGCTGCTCAGGAAACATCATCGCTCGGCGTTGAAACCATCTCCTTCCTCTCGAAGGCCTGGGCTCTCCTCTCAATTGGCAATCCTAATTAAGCAATTGGTCTCTCTGGGCTGCCATTAATTAATCTCATCCTGAAGCCTATGTTCTATTCTTATATTCTTAGTAGTATCTTGAACACAAAATTCAGATAGAACTTCACTAATTTCTTTTTGTTCTATAGCTACTAGAGTTGACTGGTTGAGATAGGAGCTTTAAGTGAATAGGTTCCTTCTCAGTTCTTACGATATGTACGTAGTTAATTAGTATCTCTACATCACAATCTTCTTGGTTGAGTCATTCCTCTTGCAGTCTTAACACTAACAGATGACGTGCTCTTTAATTTATAGGGGACATATAAGATATTATAAACTTAAATAGTTTCAATATTTGATGTATTCCTTGTATAGCGTTTATACTATTCAATTATCACCAAACGTTACTTTGTGCTTAATGATGTCTTAAAGTTCAACATTTTTTCCTATTTAAAATAAAAAAAATATTTTACATATATATTTACTAGCTACTAGTATTGTAGGGCCCTTTATTTTTGTCTCGTACTAGGCCCTCAAAATTTCATGACTAGCCAATGATACACGTATATTTATCATGTTTCCCTCTGGTGCAGATGTGGCCTGATCTGATTAAGAAAGCAAAGGAAGGTGGCCTTGACGCGATCGAGACCTACGTCTTCTGGAACGGCCATGAGCCCCATCGCCGCCAGGTTAGTTCTGTCTCCGATAAAATATGTATACTGCTTTAGCTGTTACTGCTATTTATTTAGTAAGTAATCGAATATGTAAATCCACAGTAAATATTTTACGATTTAAAACTAAGCTTATGTAATTCAAAGCAAGGCTGTTCCCCATGTATATACCCCATGTATATACGGAGGAGTACTATTTATTTAGTAAGTAATCGAATATGTAAATCTACAGTAAATATTGATTAAAACTAAGCTTATGTAATTCAAAACAAGGCTGTTCCCCATGTATATTATTTAGATGAATTAAGCTTAGTTTATACATCCTTATATTCCAGGCTGTTCCCCATGTATATTATTTAGATGAATTAAGCTTAGTTTATACATCCTTATATTCCTTGCGTATAGATCGCAGTATCGCTACTTGTAGCTTATTTTGCAAACCCGATTCTTGATATTTCTAACCAATGCATGAAACAAAGTAGTATAATCGAAATTCTTGATATTTCTAACCAATGCATGAAACAAAGTAGTATAATATATGCCATCTCCTACGATGGGTCATATAGAAGTGACTATATATTCAAACTAAGAATATATGCCATCTCCTACGATGGGTCATATAGAAGTAACTATATATTCAAACTAAGAATATATGCCATGTCCTACGATGGGTCATATAGAAGTAACTATAGTTCAAACTAAGAATATATGCCATCTCCTACGATGTGTGCATTTTGAAAAATTTTAGCCTATTCTAGCAATGTTCTTCTGATGACCTACGATGTGTGCATTTTGAAAAATTTTAGCATATTCTAGCAATGTTCTTCTCATGACCTTCGTGAAATGTTCTGATATATATGTAGTACAACTTCCTTCTCATGACCTTCGTGAAATGTTTTGATGTATATGTAGTACAACTTGCCTATTCTAGCAATGTTTCTCATGACCTTCGTGAAATGTTATATATATATATATATATATACACGTAGTACAACTTACTTCTCATGACCTTCGTGAAATGTTTTGATATATATGTAGTACAACTTTGAGGGGAACTATGACATTATCAGATTTTTCAAGGAGATCCAGAATGCTGGCTTATACGCTATTCTTCGCATCGGGCCATACATTTGCGGCGAATGGAACTATGGGTACATAACTGTATATGCTCAATTTTACACACGTTTGTGTGATAGATAAGGGAATGTTGAATACTATTTCACTAGCACACTGCACTAATCATACTTTTTTTAATCGTTTTCCTCATATGCAGAGGACTTCCTGCTTGGCTACGTGATATTCCACAAATGCAGTTCAGAATGCATAATGCGCCATTTGAGGTAATGGGTTATAATAATAAATTAATTCAAACATGTATATATTCATATATTATGTATAGCAATTGAAATTTTGAGCAATTGTTTTGTTTCCTACTGAATAGAATGAGATGGAAAACTTCACGACTCTCATTATCAACAAGATGAAGGATGCCAACATGTTTGCTGGTCAAGGTGGCCCAATCATCCTGGCACAGGTGTGATGCATGCTAGCACCCTCGATCTGTTGCCAATAATACAAGTTATTCAATTACAAATGCATTGCTTGTATCTTTATATATATATAGTACCGCTCTATTGCCAATAATTTAAGTTATTTAATACAAATGCATTGCTTGTATCTTTATATTATAGATCGAAAACGAGTACGGAAATGTCATGGGCCAACTGAACAATAATCAGTCTGCGTCTGAATACATCCATTGGTGTGCGGACATGGCCAACAAGCAGAATGTCGGTGTCCCATGGATCATGTGTCAGCAAGACAGTGATGTGCCGCACAATGTGGTGAGCATGACTTTCAATTTGTTTAAAATAATGTATAATGTTTGTATGTGTTTAAATTCTTTTATTGATTGTTTGAAATTCATGCCGTTGTTTCTTTTCCCGATTAATTTAGGTGAACACCTGCAACGGATTCTACTGCCATGATTGGTTCCCAAATAGGACTGGCATCCCTAAGATTTGGACAGAGAACTGGACTGGATGGTATATATATATTTATAATTTTCTTTCATCACATATATATGTTTCTCTTCTATTGTAAAAGAACTTTTTTAATATTCAAATATGAATTGAAGCATATCTTTTGTGACTTTCATTGATTCGGATTAGGTTTAAAGCCTGGGACAAGCCGGATTTCCATAGATCCGCCGAAGATATTGCTTTCGCAGTTGCAATGTTCTTCCAAAAGCGTGGTTCTCTCCAGAACTACTACATGGTATGTACTCTCAATTTCTTGTGGCTTTCTCACATATATATATATATATCTCACAATGAATCGAACTAATTGTTGCCATCACACCATTTTTACCAGTACCATGGTGGAACGAATTTTGGTCGCACCTCAGGTGGCCCGTACATCACAACTAGTTACGACTATGACGCACCTTTGGATGAATATGGTGAGAAATTAACATACAACATTTTGGGCTATTTAATTAAATGCACAATTAATAAGCTATAAATCATAGTATAATTCTGATTTTCCTTTGGTTTACCTATCATAATTAGGTAATCTTCGGCAGCCGAAATATGGCCACTTGAAGGACCTCCACTCTGTGATCAAGTCCATTGAGAAGATTCTTGTCCATGGGGAATATGTTGACGCCAACTACAGTGATAATGTCACAGTATGATTCATGCCATACTTTCGCAGAATTTCCCTAACAGATTCAAGTTTTCTAGCAAACTGATACATGTGGTTCACATTGATAATTTCTTTTCAACATATCTGATGCATTATGATCACTTATTTTCTAAAGGTTACCAAGTACACCTTGGGCTCCACCTCAGCTTGTTTCATCAACAACCGGAATGACAACAAAGATCTTAACGTAACCCTTGATGGAAACACTCACCTTCTGCCTGCTTGGTCTGTGAGTATCTTGCCTGACTGCAAGACCGTTGCCTTCAATAGCGCCAAGGTATTTTTCCAATCATTATTGAATTCTGACTATATAATTTGATTGATGCAGGATCTATGATACTACACTATTGTTACAAGCTAATTGTTAAGATTGTTTTTTCTTTCGTTTTTTTTTTGGAACAATTAGATCAAAGCCCAAACGACTATCATGGTAAAGAAGGCTAACATGGTAGAGAAGGAGCCAGAGAGCTTGAAATGGTCATGGATGCGTGAAAATTTGACGCCCTTCATGACTGATGAGAAGGGAAGCTATAGGAAGAATGAGCTCTTAGAGCAGATCGTCACATCAACTGATCAAAGTGATTACTTGTGGTACAGAACAAGGTATTGGCCAAAAAAACATTTTTATTGCAACTTTTACATGATAAGAAGCATTTTTAATGTTAACTTATTATTGAATAATATGCTGCCTAATTTTGACACATAAAATGAAATGCAGCCTTGACCACAAGGGTGAGGCGAGCTACACTTTGTTCGTGAACACAACAGGGCATGAACTATATGCCTTTGTGAATGGAATGCTTGTTGGTAAGTAGCTAGTTAAATTTAGCTTCTTGCACAACATAACAATTCGTGGTAATTTTCTCATTGAGATGTTAACTATCAATCTGGTTGGCAGGTAAAAACCATTCTCCAAATGGACACTTTGTTTTCCAGCTTGAGTCAGCAGTAAAGCTTCATGATGGAAAGAACTACATTTCTCTTTTGAGTGCTACCATTGGTCTAAAGGTTTCTAATATATTTACTAAACAGTTCATTAAAAGCCTGTCACTATATTTTTTGTATATGTGTTGTTGTGTATGATGAAAGATATTTGTTCAATGTCAAACAGAACTATGGCCCTTTGTTTGAGAAGATGCCTGCTGGCATTGTTGGAGGACCAGTTAAGTTGATTGACAACAATGGCACAGGGATTGATCTCTCCAACAGTTCCTGGTCATATAAGGTGCACAAAATCTCTATCAATTGTCAATTATTACTATTTAATTATCAACTATATTTCTATGGATATTTTTAAGACTTTTGATGACGTATGTTATTAGGAAATATACCAGCAAATTTTTCCCTTGATTCAATAGATTGTTTAGATTAATTAATACTCGTCATCTTACCACTTTAGTTACCTCCTAAGAGATAAGTGGAGCACCCTAAATATATGTTTCTATTGATTGTAATATTACTTTGATTTTCTATTTCTAGGCTGGCTTGGCAGGTGAGTATAGGCAGATCCACCTGGACAAGCCCGGTTACAGATGGGACAACAACAATGGCACCGTCCCTATCAACAGGCCCTTTACGTGGTACAAGGTATTATATAGGTTGATATGTATTATCCATATTGTATTGAGCTACGAAATAGAAGTAATTCCCTTGTTTTATTTTTCTATTTAGACTACCTTCCAAGCTCCAGCCGGTCAGGACACGGTGGTGGTGGACCTCCTAGGGCTGAACAAGGGCGTGGCATGGGTGAACGGGAACAACCTTGGCCGTTACTGGCCATCATATACAGCGGCGGAGATGGGTGGCTGCCATCACTGCGACTACCGCGGAGTTTTTCAGGCTGAGGGCGATGGACAAAAATGCCTCACGGGATGCGGTGAGCCGTCGCAACGGTACTATCATGTTCCACGCTCCTTCCTCAAGAATGGCGAGCCCAACACACTCATTCTCTTCGAGGAGGCCGGCGGCGACCCTTCACAGGTCATCTTCCACTCTGTCGTGGCAGGCTCTGTGTGCGTGTCCGCTGAGGTTGGGGATGCCATCACACTATCCTGCGGTCAACACAGCAAAACCATCTCGACCATCGACGTGACCAGCTTTGGTGTTGCGCGTGGTCAGTGCGGCGCCTATGAGGGTGGGTGCGAGTCCAAGGCTGCGTACAAGGCTTTCACAGAAGCTTGCCTTGGGAAGGAGTCATGCACAGTGCAAATCATTAATGCTCTCACCGGCTCCGGGTGCCTCTCCGGCGTCCTCACCGTCCAAGCCTCATGTTGATGCATTATTGGGGTCTAATAATTAGATTTGGTTTGTTTAGATTATGCTCTAGGAAAACCTGGTGCATGTATTAAGTTCAATATTAAACTAGAGTCTTATATATGTGAGTTAAATTGGAGTGTGATCAAGTAATCTTAGATTGTGTGATATTGGAACAATTTGCATCTATATAGTATTTTTGTGAGTGAAAAAATTATTGTCTTTACTTTGTTTCGTGGAATTAAAGAATATTTTTTGGGGGTTTATAATTTTGTAAGGGTAGTTATTTCTGCTATTTCACTATTAAAATAGATTCCTATAAAAAAAATTCCTATATACCCAGTTCAAAAAGTTCAAAAGAGTAATATAATAAGAATCACCAACAGCATACGTACATGGCCCCTAATCTCAGGTTTTGGCGGATTTTTGCTAAAACCACAATCCAACAGATTCCCTACTCGCATGTGCCGATCTACGAATTCCCTACTCCAGATTTTTCGCTCTCCACATCTAGAGAATTGATTTGGCTTCCAATCGCCTAATCCAGCACATTCGCGCAGAGGAGGCGAAATGTTCCCATCCAGCTCATCATCTTCGCGCCCTCGTTCGCGGCATCATCTTTGCGCCCTCGTTCGCCGTGAGGTCGTTCCTCTGTTCCACTGCCAGCGTCCTCTTCCTTGAAGGCGACTGGAATGCCGTCATCGCTCCCCCAAGCTTCTTTGGCGTCAGCTTTCTTTCCGGGGGCGACACATGCTATCTGATTGCTATGGCGGTGCTAGGCAGAGGACAACAACGCTGTCACGGGTTTCCCAAGCGTGAGCGCCGTCTCAATTCCGGCCGCCGCCTCGGTTCAGCCTGAATCGGTCTGTCACCCCAACAGCTGCTGAAATTGCTGCTGCAGCTGTGAGATGCTGCTGAAATTGCTGGTGCTGCTGAAATTTTGCAAGGGCAGCAGCTGCTGCTGTGTGCTGTCACGGGGAGGGCGATTGGCGGTGGGGAGAGGGGCGAGAGGAAGCGGCGCTGCTTGGGTACCGCCAAGGGGAATCGCGATCACGAGTGCCGTATAAACGAAAAACGAAAAAAAATATGTTGGTGGTTCAACAGAAGGGTCCACTTTTTAAGTTTTAGGAATTAGATTTAGGTGTTGTGTTGAAAAGATCAGTTTTTCAACTTCCTATTTTCAGTTTAGGAAACCAAAAACATTTTTTTTTTGAAGGAGATTATACGAGGACTGTTGGTGATGCTCTAAGAAGGAAGATAATTTTAGAGTTCTCTGTAGTCATCTATCCATTTTAATTGAAATGTAGTATGAGTCGTCTCACCAAGTTGGCTCTAGCTTAATTAGGCTCTCAACTTTTTTTTTTGTGACCTCAGCAAAAAAACCTATATTTTGAGTATGGAAGTTTCTAGCATCTATGCCTTGAGGATTGTCGTTCTGCATGCCGCAAGCTAGGCTTTGATTGAAATGTTGTTGATCTGAATGATATCGCAGCTTCATTGTACGGTAAAGATAATTACCGTACAAGGGTTATTATTGCAAATTGAAAATCGGAAGATAATTAAGTAACAAGTGTCAACAGTACGGCAGCTACAAAACGTCCTATACTACACAAAAGCAAAGAAGCAAATCAAACTTGTTGCTACGTATGTTCCTGTAGTCTTCATAAGCAGGGAGTCTTAACTTCACATTTACGTACACTTACACCTTACTGATTGATGGTAAAGCGTGGTCAATCCAAATGTTCTGAAAATGACAAAAAAAAAAGACCTGAATTAACTAGTTTACGGAAAGAGTAATTAGATCACAAGCTAGCCTGCTCGTTAGTTTACATTCCTACTTGTCAGGCATGACAAACATCACTAAAAAAAAATAGTCGCAATCTACCCTGATCCATTGCAACGGCCGATGGGCATCGAGCAAGCACATAGCAGCAGTAGAATACCCAAGGAAAAAGTACACCGAAGGTGCCTCAACCTGTCATCGAGTTACAAAATTATCCCTAAACCACAAAATCACATATAGAGAAGATCCCTCAACTTATAAAATTGTTCACTTTAAGTCCTTTAGTGGTTTTGACCCTGGTTTTATTTGACGTGGCGGCTAAGTCAGTGTGGGACCCACGTGAGCCCCACATGTCAGGGTGTCCATGTCAACACCCTCTCTCTTTCCCCTCTTCTCTCCCTTCCTCCTCTCCACTCTCTCTCTCTCTCTCTCTCACTTTTATCCTAATTTGGGGCAGGCCGGCCGGTGGGTGGGGAGGTCGCCGAGGCGAGGCAGGAGAGGAGATCTGTTGACTGGCGATGCGGCGGCGGCGGCGGCTGTGACGTTGGGGAAGGGAGGCGACTCGCGGCAGCGGCCGGCGAATCGGCGGCGGTGGTGGCGACGACACGGGAGAAGGGAGAGCGTCATCGCGTGTGCGACCTCGGTGTCGAACCATAGGAGAGGCCCGGGAGGTGTCGGCGGTGGTGGCGGCTGCGACGCGGGAGAAGGGGATGGTGTCACCGCGCGGGCGAGCTAGAGGCTGAATATCCCTGTGGCAGCGAGGTAAGCGACCTCGACGGCATTGCGCCTGCTGTCGATGACCCACGTGAGCGCGCACTCGTCTTCGCCATCCTCAAGCTCCACCTCCCAGCACTCACCCACGACGCCCGCTGCATGCCCGCGTCGTTTCCGCCTCGCTGCCGCCTCCCCGGAGGAGCCAAGCCTCAGATGGTGATGGCGACGGCGAGGTGGCTCGAGGGCGCCGTGACGACAAGCAGCAGGGATGGGGAGAGAGAGGATACCGTTGTCGTTGTGTCGCCCATCGCCATAGGGGGAGGCCCTCTCCTCCCTTCCCCCACCTCATCCCCGCCATCACTGGAGGAGCCAAGCCTCATATGGGGATGGCGACGACGAGGTGGCTTGAGGGCGCCGCGACGACGAGCAGTGGGGATGATAGAGTGAGGACACCGCCATCATCGTGTCGCCCGTCGCCATGTGGGGAGGCCCTCTCCTCCCTTCCCCCAGCTCATCCCCGCTGCCGCCGGAGGAACCAGGCCTTGGGATTGGTATGCCGACAGCAAGGTGGCCTAGGGATGCCACGGCGATGAGCAGCGGGGAGGGGGAGTGCGACAGGAGAGCGAGGACACCGCTGTCGCCGTGTCACCCGTCGCCATGGGAGGAGGTCCACCTGCTCCCGCGTTGTCATCGCCGACGCTGCCACCGCCGCGTCGCTCGTCGTCGGTCGCCGAACGTTGGACCTCCTTCTCTCCCGCCTCAGCTAGCTGGCCTCCTCCCCACCCACCGACCGGCCTGCTCCACATGAGGATAAAAGTGAGAGAGGAGGAACGGAGAGAAGAGAAAGAGAAAGAGGGTGCTGACGTGGACACCCTGACATGTGGGGCCCACGTGGGTCCGACGCCGTCTCAGCCACCACGTCAGACAAAACCGAGGTCAAAACTGCCTGAGGACGCAAAGTGACCCAGTTTCGTAAGTTGAGGGATGACATATATTTGGTTTAATAGGTGGGGGACGATTTTGTAACTTGATGACAAGTTGAGGGACCTTCGGTGTACTTTTTCCAATGCCCAATATCATAGGGGAAGCCGACAGTAAGAATGGTGTCTCCTGGAGTGGATTGGTGGGCGCTTGGAGGCTCAAGCGGTGGCAGTTGAGGCGGGGACAGGCTGCCAGCTCTGGACATCACATGAATGTGTGTTGGCACTCTTTATGCTCAGGAAAAATAGTCCACAAGTGAATGAGAACCGCTCAAGTTTTCAACCTAGAGTATTCCACGGTATCGAATCAACGAGAAATAAAATGTATACTTATGTTTCCAGGACTAAGCCAAGAGTGTAGTTTTAATTTGAGAGGATCCTCTAGCCTAAATGACTTACTTGGGCTTCATGTCACTACGCCTAAATGAGCTAACTATTCAGTACAAATACTTTGTTGTGCTTGCTTAAGGCATAAGAGTATTCATCAAAGAATGGGGTGAACACTTATCACCCAATTTATATGAATGTTACTAGGGCTAATGTGGTAGACCTCAATGGATAGCCATGGTTGTCACCACCTGGCTGGCTACGTCCTTTGTTGCTCTAACCTGCCTTCCTAGACAAAACTATGCCGATCACCACAACCATACATGGAATTACTATTCAACTTATTTGCAATCATAAGCAATGCAACCAACACAAACAAAGAATGGATACTTTAGGTAAAATAGACTAGGAACCAACAAGCAAGCAAGTTACTAATAACATGCTATCCGATCAAAAAGACTAAAAGTTTACTCCCGTGGAGCCGCATCTTTGAGGAACAAGTCAGACGAGGAGCTCACTTCCCTGTCTCCTATGAACTTCTTCCTCACCCACTCTCAACTCTATTCTACAATTTTGGCAGCATGAGGCATTCTCCTTGAGCTGATCTCCACTCCAAGTGTTATCGATATCCTTTTTCAAAGTGTACTAGTAGGAGGGGCTATTAGCAGCCAAATGAGGGTAGGTCTATGGCTGGCCAGTCGGCTCAATAAAAGGGGTGCTGGGGAGGGGGGGAGGGGGGCTGGCACCACCTTATGTTAGTGGTTGGCCGGTCAACAAGGGTGACTGGCTGGTCGGTTCATGGACAGCTAAGATCATTCCCCTGAGCCAGTTGTAAGTTGGTTAGCAGTCGTTGGAGAGTCGACATGTGTTGGCAGCTGTTAAATACCAATTTTGTGCCGCCAATACCTGCATAAATATGAAATTATGAAACATTCAACATAGTGATAGGGTTTAATTGTAACAATTTCCACGAGTGTTGGTGTATATTTGTATGCAGGTGACAAACTACCAACATTGAGAAGAAATATACATAAAAGTGGAGGAGAATTTCATCCATTGAGTCTTGGGCCCGCAAACTCATCGAAATACTAGAAACTGGGCCCAAAGAATATCATTGGGCCAAGGAGTCAATTGTCAGGGCCTAGGAGGAAGCCCACTGCCAGGGGAGCTGGCCAGGGGTCAGGCGACCTCTGGGTTCGGCAGACTCCGGCCTGGCCCAGCCCAAGTACAACCGCCCATGACAGGTATGACCAACTTCTCTATGGCGGCTGTGATTGGTATTGATGCTCCTAACTGTAGGATCGAAACACAATAACTAAGCCAACCAGAGGGGGTTGAATGGTTGGTATATCCAAAAACCCAAACTTTTTGCGGAATAGAAGGTTACCCTCAAATTCGATGTAGATCAGTCTGATCGGAGTA